TCCAAAAAAAGCCCGCGTGTCGGCATTCAAGGCATCAACTGCAAAACGTGTTACCGCCGGCTAGGTAAAAACTCCCCGCGACAGCAACAAATAATTAACCAACTTGTTTGGTGGGTAGTTCTCGAGCAGATAGAGTGCGAGCAAATACTTTAACTGATGTTTATTTACTTCTTCTTATGTCGTTGTATTCATCCTTATAAACTCCTTGAAGGAGAAAAGCGCCAATAAAATCCAGAGCTTCTCCGGGCGCCAGCACGGCTTTGTCTGTAAGGCCATAGTTAATCGTACATAGTATAAGTGCCAGCTAATCATTTCACTCTATTTTATTATTAGCTATCCAATCAAACATCTCCCTAGCGCCAGCCAATCAAATCAATAGATTTTATTTTTACTGTCCAATCAAAAAGTAAGAACATCTCCTTGGGTTGCGGGCTTCAAGCGGAATGCTGGCATTGTCGAATTTGCTGAGTCCTGCGCAGAAGAAAAAATGTGTGACGGTGAAATCTTTGACGGTGCCCGAGTTTTTACTGCTGTAGCGCTTTCAATATTCTTTGTAATCTAACATGGGTTGTTGTTTGATAGTTGAGGTATATTTATCAAGGGTGGGAAAGAGGTCATGTATTTGTATTAGAATTCCTAACCATACACTCCTGAGCTCACTGGGATCTTGATGCCAGTAAAGTACTCAATAGTCGGTATCCGACGATGCGAAGGGGCTACGGAGTCCAGCAATCCCACATGCTGAAAATCGACACAAGAGGGTCACCAAATCCTCTGTTCTTGGTGCTAACGTGTGCTCCCAGGCTCACCAGGCCTGGGTTAAAAGCATGGACAAGGTGCCTTGAACTGAACGTGAGGAGCAATGTGTCCTCGGCAAGAATTCATCACACCTTGGTAGGATAACTTGAACACTAGAGGGCTACCAGGTCCTCTGTGCCTTGGCAACAAAATCTTGATCACGGAGGGTCGCCAGGCCATCCGCATCTTTGTATCGATCTTGGATACACATGAGGGTCGTTGGGCCCCACGTACTGCAGTGTAGTATTATTACATCTTTGAGGCAATCGCTCAAGCGCGGCGCTGTTTCCGCACTAGGCGTTCTGAAACACCCCATTTCTCATTCACGGGCCCACTCAGGGGACTTTGCACCAATTTATGAAAGATCCTTCTTCGCGAAGAGGCGCTGTAGGGTCCCTTGATCCACTTGTGCCAAACGGCGCGAATTGCGAAGTGATATATATTTATAAAAACAACTTACCGCTATAGTTACTGTATCCATACATGTCTATGTATCCACATAACCACATACGACAAATACTAATAGCATACTTTACCTAATGGTAGGTCCGGGTCACTATTCAATATTGTTCATAGAATCTAATAACGTTTGAGAAGGCGCTTCTAAGCACTCCAAGGTTACTAATTGTGGTGAATAGACTGACAAGAGGCAATCGTGAAAAATTAACTCCGTCTCTTGGAATAAGGCTTTTATGACAAAAAAGCAAAGCCGATCTATCGATACAAATGTTGCCGTAGTAATAGTCGCTGTGATCACCTCAGTACTCAGCATTGCTTGTAACACCATAGCTGAAGCTGTTGTAGTCGTCATTGCTGTAAAATATTTTCCTGTTTGTCGTCGTATTTGTCGGCGCAGACACCATAATTGTCGTTCCATGGCTAACGTAAAATACCGAATAAAACGCTTGCATCGAAGAGAACGCCCTTCGATTACAACGCTCTCTGAAAGGGCGTTGTATAAAAATAGAACGCGCTAGCTGTGCCAGTCATTATTTATGGTTGAAGTACTGCTTAAACGAATGATCGACGCACTAGCTGACGAATGAGAGACCTGGAGTTGCTTACTCGTTCTCTAAGTTCCAATGCCAGCCGAAGGAAGAGCGTCGAAATCAACATCAAGCAGCAAGCCATTGAGTGGATTGCGACTGAAGGAGGAGGGGTGTTTTCACGCGCCGAAGCCCACTTTCGGCAGCGTGGATGGCGCATTACAGTATCGTGCTTTCGACAGTGGTGGCGGGACCGCGAACAGACCATGGCTGAGCACGGTGCTCGCCGACGCATAGTGGGTGGAGGTCGACAACCTTTGCTCGGTGCTGTTCAAGATGCGCTCGTTGATCTGATCTACGAGTAACGCATCAGAAAAGAGAAAGTATCGCAAAGTTGGATCGCGTTAACGGCTTTGGAGCTGTTTCACCAGAGCCGTACCGAAGAAGAGCACGAAGAAGACCCCATCCGATTCGTGGCGTCAGATCCCTGGATCAACAACTTCATGTCCCGGAACAATCTATCGCTTCGTGAGCGCACCAATCTGACGACTTTGACGGACGATGTCTTGTCGAGCGCGCTGAAGCATATATGCAGTTTTAGGAGGAACACAAGCCGCAGATGAATCGCGAGCGTATCATTCTGATGGACGAGACTGAAGTCTACTGTGAAGATGCTCGGGCTTACACGGTTGACGATGTTGGGGCTCGCCATGTTGTGGTAAGATCCACGGGGTTTGCTTCCTTGCGGATCACCGTCATGGCTGTTACTGCTACTGGTAAAAAGTTACCCCCCGTGCCTCATCTGGAAACGGAAGAACCGCGGTTCTAATGAGCGCCTTGGAGGCTGCTACATTGGCTACCAACCTCGTGCAGGGGTGGACCATGACCTGTTGCTGAACTGGTTGGACTGGTACTAACCTACCGTGTGACAAACTACAGGCCAGTACGTCGTGTGGGACTCGATGAGTGCTCACATTGGGATTCGCGTCAAGCAGCGTTGAAACGAGAAAACCATCAAGATGGCTGTTGTTCCGGGTGGCCTTACCCCGTGTGGTAAATTGACAGTTGGCTTCTGGGGACAAGTGACTGATCAATGGAATGTGACCCGATCCAGTTCGGAGTCTCGTGATCGACGACGGCGCGTCAGTGATTACGTCATCATCCGTGAGGATTACGTAATTATCAAAGTGGATCGACATGG